TAAAATATCATATTTGGTTAAAGTATCATTATTGTCTTTTTAGGATCCCAGATATTCGCCAAACTATGGAAGAATAATAAACGACCGACATTTCCAGTAAGAATTCAATTCTCCAATTTTTATCTTATGCACTTATTCCCACAGAACATTTGCCAAGTATCCAAATCATTTATCTGCTCTTGAGTTTTACAAAATCACCGAAACGCTCAAATCCAAGACGTATATTAACTTGAAGTTAATTTGCAGGCGTCTAAAGAAGTTGTTATCCCATGGAGAGTGTGTGATTGGTGGAGAGACCGATGAAAAAGACAGGTTTATTAGTCCTACAGTACTTACAGGGATTAAACCATCAGATCCTGTTATGGAAAGCGAGGTAATCATCAAACTGAAAAACGCTTTCATGTGCATGGGCCCAATAAATCAAAGATGTCGGTTTTTCAATTGTGAGAGAATCACGCAAAGGTTCTTGAGTGCACGTGAGCCTTTTTAAAGAAGATCTGTTTATCTATTTTTCTCCAATGCTTTTTATCCTTTGTTTTAGATTTTTGGACCTATTCTACCAATTCTCAACGTCAACAGCCTTGATGAAGCTATTGAGTTTATCAACGACAGAGATAAGCCTCTTGCGCTTTATATTTTTTCAACAAACAAGGAAAAGATTAATTATATCATGGAGAACACGTCTTCAGGAGGATTTTGTGCAAACGACACTGTAGTTCAAGCAGCAGGTATGGGAAAATAACTCACACAGAATACTGGGGTTTCAAAATTTTATTCTAGCCTTAGCCTCAATACTCCGTTTTCGTATTCAAAATGAATGACCGCTGTTTCATTTGACGACAGATTGATCCCTTTTGCGTAAAGACCTCTTGACTCTCTTTCCAATGACGAGTAATTTTAACTCCTTCATTTTTAGAGTAGTTTGAACTCCTTGTCATTTCCAGAGAGAGTTTTTGTAACTCCTTTTCGTATTACTCCAAACATCGAGTCAGTTTAACTCCTTGCCATTTTCAGAGAGTTGTTTTAATTCCGTTAATTGGAGTTGTTTTAACTCCTTTTCCTTGTACTCCAAATATGGAGTCAGTTTAACTCCTTGTCATTTTCAAAGAGTTGTTTTAACTACGTTTTAGGAGTTATTGTACTGACTCCTCGAAAATTACTTCCAATCTACTGCCTTTGGAGAGAATTGTTTAACTCCTTGGAGGAGTTGAATAACTCTATAGAATTTACAGTGTACAAAATAGAGCAAGAGAAAATGGTGTAATTACCA